TGCTGTTGGAGCGCTCCCTCCTGCCAGTGGGGGCCGCCGCCTGCAGCCAGCGGGGCATCGCTTCCTTACAGCACGCGTGTGGCGTTGGGAGCAGAGGCTGCCCACCCAGCTAGGGCCCTGCCGTCAGACAGTATCCCCCCTACTGCGCTGTATTCCAGGCTCATCCAGCTACACAACTGGAGCCTGCAGCCAGCGGGGCATCGCTTCCTTACAGCACGCGTGTGGCGTTGGGAGCAGAGGCTGCCCACCCAGCTAGGGCCCTGCCGTCAGACAGTATCCCCCCTACTGCGCTGTATTCCAGGCTCATCCAGCTACACAACTGGAGCCTGCAGCCAGCGATCATTTACACGGCACGGTGGGAAAGGATACACACGCCCCCGCCCCAGCTCCCTGGGGTTCCTCTGTATCTACATGTTCTATAGCCCCAGGTCTGTAGCTGGATGAACCTCTAATACCAGTGCAGTAGGAGGGAGACATCGTCTGATGCATGGGTTATAGCGCTATGGCAGCATAGGGGACCAGTGCCACCGATGGGAGTTCCCACCTGCTGTAGAACTCTGACTAGAAATACTGGCTGGTATGCCAGTTGATGTCTATTTGTATGCCTCTTTATATGCAGCCCTATACGTTTTCCCTTTGAAAACTGAAGATAAAAATGGAAGTTATATATAGTTTAATGATCTGATAGCTTTCTTTGATAGGATAACGAGCCTTGTGGATAAGGGAGAAGCGGTGGATGTCATATACCTAGACTTTAGTAAGGCATTTGATACGGTCTCGCATGATATTCTTATTGATAAACTAGGCAAATATAACTTAGATAGGGCCACGATAAGGTGGGTGCATAATTGGCTGGATAACCGTAGTCAGAGAGTTGTTGTTAACGGTTCTAAATCCTGCTGGAAAGGGATAACAAGTGGAGTTCCTCAAGGGTCTGTTTTGGGACCCGTACTGTTCAATATCTTCATCAATGATGTAGATATTGGGATAGAGAGTACTCTTATTAAGTTTGCAGATGATACCAAACTGGGTGGGGTTGCAACTTCTTTGGAGGATAGGGACATAATTCAGAATGACCTTAGCAAGTTAGAGAAATGGTCAGAGGTAAACAGGATGAGGTTTAATAAGGAGAAATGCAGAGTGCTCCACTTAGGAAGGAACAATCAGTTCCATACATACAAGATGGGAAGCGACTGTCTAGGAAGGAGCATGGCGGAAAGGGATCTAGGGGTCATAGTGGACCACAAGTTGAATATGAGTCAACAGTGTGATGCTGTTGCCAAAAAAGCAAATATGATTCTAGGTTGTATCAACAGGTGTGTTGTAAGCAAAACTCGTGAAGTCATTCTGCCGCTCTACTCTGCACTAGTTAGGCCTCAGCTGGAGTACTGTGTCCAGTTCTGGGCGCCACATTTCAAGAAAGATGTGGAGAAATTGGAAAGGGTACAGAGAAGAGTGACAAGAATGATTAAAGGTTTAGAGAACATGACCTATGAAGCCAGGCTTCGTGAACTGGGCTTGTTTAGTTTGGAAAAACGAAGATTAAGGGGGGACATGATAGTGGTTTTCAAATATCTAAAAGGGTGTCACAAGGAGGAAGGAGAAAATTTGTTCCTCTTGGTTTCTGAGGACAGGACAAGGAGTAATGGGCTTAAAGTGCAGCAGGGGAGGTTTAGATTGGACATTAGGAAAACATTCCTAACTGTCAGGGTGGTCAAATATTGGAATAAATTGCCAAGGGAGGTGGTGGAATCTCCCTCTCTGGAGATATTTAAGAACAGGTTAGATAGACATCTGTCAGGGATGGTGTAGATGGAGCTTGGTCCTGCCTTGTGGGTGGGGGGCTGGATTTGATGACCTCTTGAGGTCCCTTCCAGTCCTATTATTCTATGATTCTATGATTGCTCAGTTCAGGTATAAGGTAACATATTTCTTATTCGGCAAAAAAGGACAAAAGTGAAATACTTAACAAATAGTCTGGTAGCACTTTATAGACTAACAAAACATGCAGATGGGATCATGAGCTTTCCTGGGCACAGCCCACTTCTTCAGATGTGGTCTGCACCCTGGAAAGCTCATGATCCCATCTACTGCTGTGTCTAGACTGGCAAGATTTTCCGCAAAATCATCTGATTTGTGGAAAAACTTGCCAGCTGTCTACACTGGCCGCTTGAATTTCTGCAAAAGCACTGACGATCTCCTGTAAAGTCATCAGTGCTTTTCCGGAAATACTATGCTGCTCCCGTTCAGGCAAAAGTCTTTTTCCGAAAGACTTTTGCGTAAAAGGGCCAGTGTAGACAGCATAGTACTGTTTTCCGCAAAAAAGCCCCGATCGCAAAAATGGCGATCGGGGCTTTTTTGCGGAAAACGGCGTCTAGATTGGCCACGGAAGCTTTTCCGCAAAAAGTGCTTTTGCGGAAAAGCATCCTGCCAATCTAGACATGCTTTTCCGAAAATGCTTTTAACGGAAAAGTTTTCCGTTAAAAGCATTTTCGGAAAATCATGCCAGTGTAGACGTAGCCTACCTGTTTTGTTAGTCTTTAAAGTGCTACCAGACTATTTGTTGTTTTTTAAGTTTATCCTGTACACACTAACTGGGTTATCCCCTGAAGCATGTGAAATACAGTCATGCTCATGCTCCATATATAAACCTGAATAAGAAAATAGATACTTTCCAGCAAAGAGCAACATGGCCATTTGGTATGGGAAGTGAGTTGTTTGCTTGCTTTCCACTTGAGCCCTATATTTTTGGTTTCTCTTTGATGAGATGAGCATCTCTAATTTGAAATTTGATTGTGAGCAAATCTGATCATTTTTTTCCTCCGAGTTTGCAGTAAGGGTCCCTATAAGACAGTGAAAGCACACCTTTCAGTATACAATTTTGCTTGCTCCCCAGATTCCTACTAGTCTAAAACCTCTGGTCTACACTAGGGGATATGTTTGAATTAAGCTAGGTAACTTCAGCTATGTTAATTGCATAGCTTAAGTTGAAGTATCTTAACTCAAATTTTGGTGCTGTCCACACTGCGGAAAGTCAAAGGGAGCACACTCTCCGGTCAACTTCCATTACTCCTTGTGGAAGCAGGAGCCCTCTCAGTTCAAATTAGTGTGTTTTCACTAGACCCACTAATTCAAATCCCTGTGACTGCTTCAATTTTAGCTATACAGTAGACATGGCCAAGGACTGGAAGCTTCAAACCAATTTTATCATATTGACATATATCCCTGTGAATGGCTGTCGGGGGGGGGGGGGGGGAGGATGAGAGAGGAGGGGCGACAGACCTGCTTCTCTAAACTGTTGCTATTGAGAGAAAATATTTCACTTTGCCAAGCACCTGCTCTTTGGTAACTAATAGGATCATCACTTTCCCTCCTCCCCCCCAAACATAACATTCTTCCTCCATTTGTGTTGTAGATCCCTTGGCCTATGTTTGCTCTCCTCTCCTGGGCAATTTCCTAGTAAAGAGGGGAAGAGACTAAGGGTGTATCTACACTTCAGGGCTTAAGTCAAAATAAGCTATGCAAATTGAGCTACGTCAATTGTGTATTTTATTTTGTAATAGCTTTTTCGAAATAGGGAGCATCTACACAGCACTTATTTTGAAATAGAACACTCTTCCTCTGACTTCCCTTATTCCTTGTACAATGAGGGTTACTCTGACTCCTGTAAGTCCTCCAGCTTGACAGGATTTTGACACTTTCAAAATAACTATCTGCTGTGTAAATGCAGACTAAGTTATTTCAGAATAGTGCAATTTTTTTTTGAAATAGTGTTGCAGTGTCAACATAACCCATCAGACCTTATAGAGCACCCACAAGGAACTAGAGGCCAGGGCGCTGTTGCTACAAACAGGAAAGCTCATCCTACAAAATGCGCTCTACAAAAGAATGAGAGTGGATGAAAAATTGCTACCTTAAGGCTACAGTCTGCCTTCAGTTACATGCCTGCTAAGCCACTGACTGCAACCTGCCTTTGTTCTCATTGGAGTTGCACCAGTTGAGCTGAAGGCAGAATTTGGTCCCTACTAATCAAGGGCAAAATGGCACTCTTTTACATGGTTGTACATCTGGAGCAATGCCACTAAACACCCTGGGGGGAGAAGAGGGAGGGAGAGGGAGAGGGAGAACTGCTGAATTACACCGGTGGAAAAGAAGAATTTCCAGTCTAATGGAAGCATCTGGGTTTGGAAGCAAGGGACAGAACGATTGGGACGTAGAGAGTCTACATTGCTTTATAAAACGCTTGCTCCTGCTGGTTTGTCCCAGAGTGCTTTTGAAAAACTTTAAATAATACAGTAATGCCGGATCCTCCCCTTCCCTGGATAGCTAGGGGGTTCTCATAGCAGCAACAGCAGGTGTAACGCTGTGGACTGGGTTTCACTCTCCGCTCCGATGATCCGTCCCTAAAAATGTAATTGACAAGTCTATACATTTCGTGGGGTTGGGTTTGTAAAATCTAAGTTTCACAGGCACTAGTTACGTCTGGAGCCATTGCAGCCACTGCGAAACCACCTACCGGCCGCAGAAATAAAGAAAAGTTGCGCTCTTTGAAAAGTTGCGAAAGTTTCTGTTCTTTTATCACGTTGAAAATGTAAGATCGGGGAATAAAGTTCAGTGCTGGTTCACAAATGATCGTCCTTGCGCCCACTGACTCCCCCCTCCCTCTCTTAATGCTGCGTCTGTCCAGACCCGAGACTGCAAGTGAAAGAGGCGCTTTTTCTTCGCTTCGCAAAAGAATTTATTGGCCATATCAAAACTTGGTGAAATGTACCTGGAGTCGCAATGAGAACTGGAGCGCTGTCGCCCTGCGATTACATCGAGTGGAGGTGATGTCACCCTGTCTGAAAAGAAGCACACGCGCGCTCACACACACACACACACACACACACACACACACACACACACACACACTGAGTGATGTTGCCAAGAAGAAAGAGATCAGCCCCCACGTCACTTGGGGCACGGATATAAATATGGTCCTGCTATTTCCATGGCTGTCTGTCAGGCTCAGATCTCTTGAACTTTGGAACAAGAGAGAAGCTCTGTGGGTTTTTAGCATCGAGACACAAGGAGCGCGAGCAGTTCATCTTTGCCCGGGGGGGTTTCCGTGCCAGCATCTCCTTAGCCCTTGCCAGTGAAAACTGAATGAGCAACAGGGTTCGCCTGTGAGACTGATTCCCCGGACCCCAAGACTTCGTCAGAGTCAGCAGAGACTCTCCGGGGCGCCAAACAGCCCTGCAACCTAAGGCTGGGAAAATGCTAGCAACCCTGGCAGTGTTCTTCCTGTGGCTCCGGGGCAGCCTGGGGGTGCTTGGTGCTCCCTGCGAGGCTGTGCGCATCCCCATGTGCCAGACCATGCCCTGGAACATCACGAGGATGCCCAACCACCTGCACCACAGTACCCAGGAGAACGCCATCCTGGCCATCGAGCAGTACCAGGAGCTGGTGGACATCAGCTGCAGCCAGGTGCTCCGCTTCTTCCTGTGCGCCATGTATGTCCCAATCTGCACCCTGGAGTTCCTCCACGACCCCATCAAGCCCTGCAAATCGGTGTGCCAAAGGGCCCGGGATGGGTGCGAGCCTATCATGAAGAAGTACAACCACAGCTGGCCCGAAAGCCTGGCATGCGATGACCTGCCGGTATACGACCGAGGGGTCTGCATATCTCCTGAAGCCATAGTCACCGATGTGCCTGAAGGTGAGGAAACAAAGAGGGAGAGAGAGGGTGAAAGGGAGAGAGAGGCACCGGGTTCATGGGGGAGAGAAACGTGATTATAAAGTGGCAATTTTGAATTCAGATTTGTGCCCTGTTTCTCAAAGTCTCTGGAAAGCAGAAAGCTTTTAGTACATGGGTCACAGCTACAGGAATAGCATTTATAGGCAATCTATCTTTCAAATGTAACAAAAAGGGAGAAGTTTTGGCGAGGATTGCAACTAATCTTCTCGCCGGTAGTTTAAACGTGTCCTTGTTAAAAAGACCTCTCTGCAACAGACAAACGAAGCCAAACAAGAAGAGGTTGAATTTCCTATGGGCAGGCAGCTTTTCTGAGAACACTGAAAAGCCAATCCAGGCAGAAGGATTCCAGTATCTTTGTCTCCAAATCTCACTAGTCAAACGAGAGATGATTCAGAGTTAGGCACAAGACTGAATTGCGATGTTCAAAGTATCCCTTTCACATTTGTCTGTCAACTTGGCAATGCGGACACACAAAACTACACACCAAGCTTTTGTTCACGAAGCGAACTACTAGCAGTCAGACAATGATACACTGCGAACTTTATTCCCTTATTTTAAACAATGTACGGCGCGGTTAAAAAAAGCACAGGTATAAGTCTTGATGCAGAACTATTTTCAAAATTATAGTGAATCAGTGGGTCTCAAAAATACAGTGAATCACAACAACTATTTTAAATGCTCTCCAAGATGTGTGTGCTCGTGAAATGACTCCTGAAATGTCAGAGGTGCTTATTTTTCACACCACCTTGTATTAATTTCTAGTTGGTAGAAGAAAGCAAACTGTGCAAATCGTATTTTGTATGTTTTATTAAATAGATGTGAAGTGGATGGATTTTCCTCAAGATGTAATGGTCCAAGAAAAACTTCAGGAACCAAACTGCAAGAATATAAACCATGGTGCGTTTTCTCGGGATCCTCTTCTATTTCTTTCAAAAATAATTATGTAATTGACATTAATTTGTCATCCCCCCTCCTCTTTTTTTTGGAAGATCGATGCAAGTGTCGGAAGATAAAACCTACCCTAACAACATATCTGACCAAAAACTACAGCTACAGTAAGTCAACCGGTCAAATAATTTAATTTCCAACTCTTGGCAAAGGTTCCTTAAGCTATAGTCGCACTTTTGGTATGATCGATTGTAGCTTCTCTACTCGACACACCAAAGCCTGATCAATAAATTAATAATAAAGCACTTTGAGCTGGCACTTAAAATTGCTCTCGAACCCTTGGTTTTTTTCCCGGAAAACAATAAGAAATATTTATCATTAGTCATTATCAATGGTCATTAAAATCGCTAGATTTTGTTGTATTTTTTATAATACAGACCGGTCTAACAAAGCTTAGAGGGACAGATTGGTTAGCAAAAATGAAGGCGGGGGAAGGTAGTGGGGACCAGTGAGCCATTTCAATTTTCCTGACATTATTTAATGCCACTCAGTCTAGTCACAAGCCACAACATAGCTAGAGATCCTATGAATTGCAGTTTTTTATTTTGCTGTTTCAGACGGAATAAATTGGAAGCTTGATTAATCAAATGTGCACTAATGTGCTGTTCTCAGGGGATGAAATGAGTTCATGTGAAAACACTGAAATTGGAGAGACATGAAAAGGCTGAAAAGCAACTGTGTTGTTTTATTTGGTAATAAGTCATAGAATATTTATTGTATTTTGCATACCAGCCATTAGAGTCCTTTGGCCAGGTTCTTCATTTATGTCCATTTTCATAGCTCTTAGCTAGAAGTCCTCAGAGCTGTTACAACTGATATCAGCTGAGATCTGGCCTATGGGTTTTATTATACATTGCATGTCATATTGATAATGCTAATGCCCAGCCACAAAAAGAATTTTTGGATTTATGACCAGAGGAACTCAAAATATTTATTTATAATTTAGTTTTTCTTTCAATAACAAATCTATAAGATTAACAATGAATGTCAAGTGAGCTGTGAATTTAACATGAAATATTATGATTTACTGCCATTTAAAGTGGCTTTCCTGAGAAGGATATTATTTTAATTCATTTATTTTAAACTCTGGATATCATTCAATATGCAGTTTAAAAAATTATATTCAATATCAAATTAAAACAAAAATATTTGGGTACACACTTAAGTCATTATTGTTAAATAATCTTTTAATTCAAATTCAGTTTACAATTATCAGGACAAATGTGACATTAACCTTCCAAAGCAAACTAAAAATATGTTTGTTTTAAATTGCTGCATTTTAATGCATTTATATGAAACATTAATATTTTCTAATATCTAATTTCCTAATCTATTGCTTTACAACACACATTACTTTTGGATGGAACATTGAGGCTGCATCTAGACTACATCCCTCTGTTGGCAGAAGGATGTAAATGAAGCACTTCGAAAGTGCAAATGAAGCCGGGATTTAAATATCCCGCACCTCATTTGCATCATCATGTAATGGCGCTCTTTCAAAAAAGCTCTATTTCGAAATTGAAACCGCAGTCTAGATGCAGTTCTTTTGAAAACGGGGTGCTTTTTTGCAAGATCCCGTAAACCGTCTAGACTGTGGTTTCAATTTCGAAATAGCGCTTTTCGAAAGAGCGCCATTATGTGATTATGCAAATGAAGTGTGGGATATTCCCTTCTTCCCTTCAGTGTGCTGTTTTCTGCAGGATGTTTAGCACTCCCGAACCCAAATACAATCTTAATTTCTCCTTCACATAGTCAGGTAACAAGAATCAATGGGGATTGTATTTGGGTCTCTATTCTCTGTAAAACAGTGGGATGTAGTCTAAACACACCTGAGATTCTGCATTGTCTAACATATACAATGTGTGTTTTTGTGTACATAGTAACTTAAAATTTCAGTATTCTGAACTGAAATAAAAATTGTAAAATCATGTTTAGCT